TATTTAAATTCCATGGGGGTCGCTACCCTCAGATGAGGGGTTGAATTGTAAAAGTTGGTAAACATCTTGCATAGAGAAACATCGTGATTCATGTGTACTTGTTTGCGTTTGAAGGAGACAAGTAGAAAATTAATGATTTATTCTCTGGAAACACATCATAATTTTGTTCTTCTCCTGTTCACATATATTACTGACTTCCAGATATTGAAGTTGGCATTGTAGAAAAAATTATGTTGATTGGTGAGAACTTTGCCTCATGTCATTATTCGTTCAACTCGGTATCGAATGTTACTCATATACATAAGATAAAGTATTAATTAAATTAATTCTGAAGTCGTAGCTATGTAAAGGTAAAGATATTTTTTTGATATTGTACTTTTGAATATGTAGGTTAACGTAAATTACTGTATGATAATAATTGAAATATATATGTATTTATGTATAAATACTACTTGAGTGCAGAGGTTTCTTATTTAACCGTTTGCTGAGTAGGTGACTAGATGTACAAAGAGATACCAATTGAAACAAGCAAGACAGATGAAGTGAATACAGCAACAGAACAGGCAGAAGAGAGAGACACACACACACACACATACACGCACGCACGCGCACACACACACACACACACACACACACACATGGAGACAAATGGAGAGAGAAACAGAGAGAGAGTGGGGTAGATAGAGGGAACGAAAGAAGTTGATGAGAGAGAATGAGAGAGTGAGAAACGGAGCATGTAGGTGAGTGAATTGAGAGTAAAGGAAGATGATCAAAATGTGTACAACAGAGAAAAAAAGGAAGAGAGATGGAATTGGGAACAGAAATACTAGTAATTGGGACACACACACACACACCCACGCACGCAAAGGAAGGGAGTGAAGAGAGGTGTAATATAATCAAAGTAAATTGAAAGTGTGACGACATTAATAGGAATGATCAATACAATAAAAGTATTTTTGGCATAATTGTTTTCCCCTCATGAAATGACACGGTCCTTTTGCAATGAGCTTTTAAATTCATCATTAATTATAAATGAGTAGCGTATTCCTCATTCCTGCTCTCATGTTTATTTCTATTCATCCTGTTTTACGCAACCTAATATTTTCTCTTGTATAGATCCTCCTCTTTGTTCAAAAAGTAGAACAATCATGAAAAATATAACGAAGCACCTTCACTCAGAAAGTATAGAATTATTTCTCCCGTGCAGAAGCACGTATACAATTGAATATGTCTGGGCATGAAGTGCCTTCTTATATATCAATTATTCGAAAACTTTGTCGACCATTATCGAAAGTGGTTTTTGCACTTCTAAAATAATGATTTGCTTCAGATAATAAAGCACGTCATAGGAGGAAGACGTTGGTCTCTTGTACAGTCGTCTACTTCTGTAAAAACCCGAATTTTGCCAGAGTTTTTCATAAACCTCGAGGTACGTTTTAACACCTAGAAAACCTTTTAGAAGATATTTTTAATAAGCCTAAGGTATCTGATACCCAAAGTAAAGTATTAATTTGTGGGAAATAAATGGGTATTTTCCTCATTCGCGTTATCCGCAGGATTGAGTGTGTGCGGTGTATAGATATTATATGGGATGTTGGTGTGTGTGGGGAGATGTGGGTGCGTTCGCGTATGGATAAAAGATAGAAATATTGGGGAAGCTGTACGAATGATAGATGACATGTTATTTTATTCTATGCATTATGGGGAACAAGGGAAAGGGTTTTTGTGTGCAGTGGATTTTGAGAAAGCTTTCGACTCTGTATCTCATAGATATTTATTTCAAATATTGAAATTGTTCGGTTTTGGAGATTAATTTTGCTCTTGGGTAAAATTATTGTATAAAGGGATAAGTAGTTGTGTTATGAACGGTGGTCACTCCACGGGGTATTTTGAAATAGAAAGGGAAGTAAGGCAAGGGGATCCATTATCGCCATATTTGTTTTTGGTTGCCATCGAAATTTTGGCGCAAGCAGTAAGGAGGGACAAAGGTATTAAAGGGATTACATTTGGAAAATCTGAAATTAGGCAAGTGTTATATGCAGATGATATGACAATATTTTTGAAGGATATTGATTCAGTTAGAAAGTTGCAATATATTTTTGAATCATTTGAACAAATTAGTGGTCTTAAAGTGAATAAAACAAAGACACATTTTATGTGGATGGGTGAGGATGAGAATAAACCTGATGGGCCTTTATTTGGAAATTTGGTTAAGGAAATACATATTTTAGGGGTTAGTTATTCATTAGATCGAAGATTAAATGATGATTTGAATTATAAAGAAATTCTAAGTAAAATAAAAAAAATTGCTTGTATGGTGGAAACAAAGAGATTTAACTATTATGGGTAAAATACATTTGCTATTAAAAAACTTATGCGCTTTCAAAATTAAATTATATTTCATCTCTCGTTATTGTCCCTCATTGGGTATACAAAGAAGTTGCAAAAATTTCATTTGAATTCTTATGGAGGGGGAAAGATAGAATTAAACGGGCAATAATGTATCAGGATTATGAATTTGGAGGATTAAGAATGATTAATTTTGAAATGTCCGTTAAAATACAGCGCATAATGTGGATAAAACGTCTTTTATATTGAGAGAAAAGTTTGGGATGGAAATTGTTTTTTGATCATTGCTTACAGTTTGTGGGTGGTAGATTTATTTTTTTATGTGATTATGATTTAAAAAAGATTAAACTCGTTTTAGATATTCCACCATACTATATGGAAATGTTGCAAGCATGGCAAGAGACAAGTAATTTAAGATATTTGGAGGGTTATATTAATCCAATTATTTTTAATAATCAGAATATATGTATAAATGGAAAAAGTATATTTGATAGATACTTGTTTGAAAGAGGGATTGTTCAACTGAATCATTTGGTTGAGAAAGGTCATGTTAAGTCTGTTAAATATTTTATGAACCGCGGTATGAAAGGTAATAATTTGCTTATGATTATTGATATTTATGATGCGATACCCAGGTTATGGAAGGATGATTCAGGGTTAATAGAATTCCTCGAGGTTGATTTGATAAACTTTAATACTTATTTCCATATTTCTAGTAATAAAATACAGTTTGTGGATGTGGGTTCAAGAACAATCTATGATTATTTTATCAAAGCGCTGCAACAAACGTATGATTTGCAGGTAAGGGATGGGCAAAATGATTATGATTTTATAGATAAAGAATTAAAAGAAATATTTGTTAGACCAAGAATTACTATACTCATTAGAAAACAACGTGAATTTCAATTTAAATTATTGCATGGAGCCATATACACTAATGAGCATCTTCGTAGATTTGGTTTTGTTGGTGATAATTTATGTTCGTTTTGTAAGCAGGAAATAGAAACATACAAACATTTATTTTTATCTTGTGGGAGCGTTCAAAGGATATGGCAGGCTTTAATACAACTTTTTGAGTTAGATGAAATTAAAGATTTAGAATGGCGAGATATATTTGTTGGGTTGGTAGGTAGTTAATATAGAATAAAAATGTGTAATACTATCATTTTCATGGTGAAGTATGTTACATTTATGTCAAGATCGGGGGGGGGGGGCGAGTACTAACTTTAGAAAAGATGAAAAAAGCATTTTTAAGTATAGGGATGAGGAAAAGAAAATAGCAATTAAAATGGGAAAGCTGGGATCACATTTCTTAAAGTGGGAGCAGCTTAAGATTAATTAAGATTTGTTTTTTTCTCCACCGTGAGCCTGTTAAAAGCGTAACTCTATTTTGCGGCCTGGATAACTTATTTAGTATATTTTTCTTGAGTTGAGAATGTTGGCAGACATCCACCGAGTGAGTAGTGTATGTGGGGGGGGGGGATGGGTGAGTGGGTGAGTATGTGTGTGGGTGGGTGAGTATGTTTGTGTGATAGAGGGTGAGTATGTTTGTGTGATGGAGAGGGCAGGGAGGGAGCAGGGAGGGGGCAGGATTGTTTCAGTAAAATTACCTCCAGATTTGTTTAAGTTTTTTTTTTGTAATATATAAGTGAATAACATTTACAATTGACATATTATGTTTAGGTACTTATACGTTTACTTTGTTGCTAAGTTATATTATACTGCAAATAAGTTTGTGTTTAATTATGTTTATGTAAAAGCATCAATATTGAACACGTTTATTTTATTCAATTGTATGTCATGGTTTGTATTACACATCTGGAGAAATAAAACAAAATTGTTTTTAAAAAAATTTAAAAAGTATGTGAGCGTGTGCGTATGTGGTGGATTGCTTGTGTTGGTGAAATGCGATTCACCCGATCGATTGTCCCTTTGATACGATAACACACCATAGTTTGCTTTTTTATTGCATATGTTAAATCATTATGTATCACTTAATTTTATACTTCGTAGCTTGAGATGATTCGACATAATTTTTGTTTGTTTTTTTGCTATAATTCATCGTCGGTCAGCAGGTTCATGTAGTTAGATGACTTTTCTAAATTGGAAGATAAGTACAAAGTATTGATGAAAACGTTATCCTTTTGTTAGTCTTAATACAATAATAATTGTGCTTATCTTACAGATGGACTTTACTTTTTACATTCTTACATTTGTGATCAGTACGCAAATATATCTCAGTACCGGGGAAGGTTTGTAATTTCACCTTTCCTATTGATATTCTTTTCCTTTCTATTGTATATTGACTATATTCTATTATACGAATCACAAAGAATGCCAAGAAGGTTTAAATAAAGGAATCAGGGCCCGGGTTATGTATTAAGGGTTTCCTGAAAGAAAGAATATATTCTTTTAGTCTTTCATCTGTTGTTGATATTTCGTGAGTAATTCCGCAATGCATGGACATATTATCGCGCGATTTTTGATTTCTTTTTTTCTAGTCTTGCATCATTTTTTAACCAATATTTCACGGGCATTGCACGTACATTTGCGGGGACACGTGTGTCGTCTTAAAAAAAACCCACCTCAATCCAGCCCCAAAGTTGCGAATTATGGACCTTATGCACAAATCAAATAGAAACATGTAGGTTTTATTGATCATAAGGGGAATCTGCCGGTTCAATAATTCCCATTCGCAACATCGTATCTACTTCCTTCTCTACAGTTTCTTTCATTGCCTGGGGAACTTTGTATGGGGGTGAACGCACTGGTTCATCACTTGTCAAATGCAATTTGCACTCTGCAGCTGTTGTCTTCTTTGGTACATCAGAAAAAATATCTTGATATTCGCGCAACAACTGAGATATCTCTTTCCTACGACTCTCTTCCAAGGACTCATTCACCCTGACATGCTCTATGAATTCCTTCTGATGTATAGACGGCATCACTGTCACCTCAGCGCGATCCAAATCACTAATCTGAACCTCAACATCTTCCCCAGAATCCTCACACACTTCGCTACTCTCTGTGCACATATCAAAACAGCCAGCCACTGACAAGTCAACCTCCTCCCTGGGAAAGTATTTCTTCAGAAGATTGATGTGATATGTCTTAGGAACTCCTTTTACATCTACAATGTAGTCATAATCGTACTTCACGCCAACAACAGGAAATGGACCCATCCACTTCAGTAACAACTTGTTCTGATCAGTGGGAAGCAAAATCAGCACCTGATCCCCGATATCTAATTTCCTGTTTCGAGCATTCCTATCATAATACTTCTTGTATTTCCCCGCAGCACCTTTCAAGGTTTCCTGGGCTAACTCCCATGACTTCACCAACTTTTCACGAAGCTCTATGACATATTCATACTCATCTTTCAACTCCGGAGTTACATCATCATTTGTCCACAATTCCCTCAACACATCCATGGGACCACGAACATTTCTCCCATATAACAGCTCAAAAGGAGAATATCCAAGACTAGAGCTAGGAGTCTCGCGCAATGCAAAGAGGAGCGCAGGCAAATATCTGTCCCACTCACGTGGTTCATCCGCGCACAACCGTCGCAGCGCAGTCTTTATTAACCCATTATACCTCTCTACTAAACCATTGCATATGGGATGATACCTAGAGCTAGTGACCTGTCGAATAGACAACAATCTTGACACCTCCCTCATTAAACTTGAAACAAACTGTGGACCCAAGTCTGACATGACTTCATTCGGTATTCCTACCCTACTATACACACTGAGAAGTGCTTCGGCCACTTCCACAGTTGTTATTGTCTTCAAAGGTATGGCTTCCACATACCTGGTTGCATAATCGACAACTGTCAGGATATGCGTATGACCTCTCTCTGACCTAGTGAATGGTCCCGCTAAATCTATAGCTATTCTCTGAAATGGTACACCTATTATCGGCATTCGACCTAATGTTGCCTTCGGCACTCTACCCTTACTGGCTGTCTTCTGGCAAATGTCACAGGATCGACAGAAGTTTGCTACATCCACCGACATTCCTGGCCAGAAGAATTGACACTTGATTTTGGCCATTGTATTGTTTATGCCTATATGACCTCCCATCAAGGACTCATGTGCCACTTTCATTACTTTCTCTCTTTGGGACTTAGGGAGCACTACACACTTATGTCCGATACCTAGCTTAGGGTTATTTCCATCTCTTCTCTGTCTGTACAAACACTCTCCTTCGCACACAAACACGTACTTAGACTTTTCATCCCTACCTACTTTGTTCCACAATGAACGCAAAGATGGATCTTCCTTCTGCTCACGAACAAAACCTGCAGGCTCTATGCAGGAAACGGGACTGCCAATCTTCAAACCCTTGAGCGGTTTGACCTTGATCTCCTTCTGAGATCGAGTTTCAACTGCCATCACCAATGGACTATCCTCTTTCACACCAGAGATATTTGCAACCTGCTCAACTCGCTCATCTCTATCCACAACCTGCACTCCAATAGCATCATTGACCTCACCAATGGTACTCTCATCATCACTATTCACCTGATCTGCAACGTCACTTACTACTCTACCTCCTTTAGGTACCCAGTTCAAATCTGGATCGCGGGGTTCACGTGCACCAGTTATATCACCAATAACAACATCAAATAGTGAATGAGGCATACACAAAGCCTCTATCTCACCCACATAGTATGGAGAATCAACTGTCAGTCTCGCAACTGGGAACTCCCTTACTGTACCATCAATGAGCAACACTACCTGCGTGTACCCTGTCAGCTGATCTTCATCGACTAGTTCTGATTTAACTACACAAGTAGTGCACCCGCAATCTCTCAAAACTGATACTGCTTTGTTCCCTTTTCCCAGCCTACCTGAAACTACGGGCATATGCTTCGTCATAGCCCCTACCAGATCATAAGCCATGCCTAGTTTATGCACAATGCTTTGTTCTGTCTTCTCTAATGAATTCAATTCATTTGCTTCTACCGGTAGTAAACAGATACTAGCTAGTCCAAATTGCACCGTATTAGCACTTGGTGAACTATCAACAGACCTTAACGAACCGATACCATATCCTGTATCCTCACCACCATTCGCGACTAACTGAGAACTGTCATTACTCTCTACTCTTTGGGTGGGGAAATCTGTCCCATCCAAAGTCATCATTCCTTGCGCTGAATGTATCTGTTTGCGCAACGGACATTCGTTCTTAAAGTGCCCCTGGCTACCACACATATAACAACCTCTAGCAGAACGCTTGCTTGCATCATATGCTCCTCCACCCCTACTACTTGGTGTACGCGAGTTAAAACCCTTAGTGTTAACGTTACCCTTGGGGACACTTGGCTGAGCGGGACTAACAACACCTTGTGTACGTGTAACCGTCGGTTTGAATCCACCTGGATTGCGGGGTGTGCCGAAGGTATGTAATCCATGGGCCCCTACATAAACCATAGCCCTTTCAACAACCTTATCAATGCTACTATCTTGCCCCTCTCTAACAAACACTTCAACTTCCCTTGGGCAACAATACACAAACTGTTCTCTTAGGATTAAATCAAACAGGGAGTCATAATTCTCTTCAATATTTGATAACTCAATCCAATTCTGCAAGTAACCCTTCAATCGTACACTGAATTGCCTTGGCTGTTCATGCTTTTCTGGCTTCGCCGTACGAAATTTTCTTCTATAACCATCGGCGGTCAAATGATAGAACTCCATCAACTCTCGCTTTACTGCCTCGTAATCATTGCGAGTTTCCTTTGACATTCTATTCACTACCTCCAAAGCCTGCCCTGTCAATTTAGAAATAAGGTGTAAGGCTCTTACACTGTCAGGTACCTTTTGACTAGCCATGACTAATTCGAATTTAGTAATGTACGCATCAAATTTATCACTTGTATCATCAAATTTACCAATTTTCAACCTCAAACCCCCCGAATCTACACCGGCAGTCTTTCTCTCCTCGACCCGAAGCTCGGCTAGCTTCACTTCTTTTTCGCGCTCTTCGCGATCACATTCTAGCTCTTTTACTCTCAACACTTCGGCGCAGCGCTCGGAAACGAACTTACTAAGCTCACTACCCGCAAGGCTCATCTCTCGACCTAGGGTTGAGAACTCTTTAATCTGATCTATACTGGCCATTATGAAACTGTATTCGAAATCACAACTGGGTATCAACAGGTACGGAACAATCCACGTAGAATCTATTCAAGAAAACACCGACAACCATCAAGACTCTTGTTGTAGAGGTCTAGCTTAATTCCCAAGACAAGAACCCGTGAAAAACTATCCACCATTTGTCTTAATTAACATAGACATGCAATATCAAGACCCGTCTCAAAGTCAAAGTATGACAACAAGTATCCCTGTGCATCCAACCTAGATTAACTCATGCTCACACACAGCTAAATCCAACACCATGTCCAATTCAGGTCATTGAAACCCATCACAGCCCTCGCATACAAACCTGTACACACCGCTGAAATGCACAATGCCTACGGACACCCATGCACATAACACGCATACCTGAAATCTGAATAACAATCTACACACAATCCCGTATACCGACGCAAATCACCCACCGCAAATACTGTACGTCTATTGACGGTACACGCACTGCTGAAACCGTGGCGAGAGACACACCACACCGAACCGCAAAATCACTCTTTTTGCTAACATCCGTCTCTCTTTCAAAACGAAACCTACCCATACAGTGTAACGGATATTTAACCAACAAAATGTGATATAACATACGAGACCTAAAACTTTGGTCCTGGCAAGGTCGCCATAAATTGTCACGCAAAAACGACAATTAATCTTACTGGTTTTAGGTCTCGGCTCAAAGAGGCTTTATTCATGGTGTAACTGAAATCCAAACACCAAAGGAAAAACACACCCTATTCAGGGTAACATCATTCTTAATTCTCATGTGACAGATAGTAATATCTGCTCGTTTGATTCTATTTCTGTCTTGCAGCTTATGATGTGAATCAGATTGAATTCGATGGGTCCTTGTACCATTTCTCTCAAAACCCGTTTGACTTTTACACATCGAAAGTCTCTTGTGAGGATCTGGGAATGCATCTGGTCTCTATAGGATCCAAGGTAGAACAGGACTTCTTGGTCTCCAACCTACCCGATAATAGCTCAGAATACTGGATAGGACTAGGCAGTGTGACTTGGCAAGACGGTTCAAACTTGACTTACAACAGGTTCAGAGGATATTCTTTTGATTTTGATGAAGGAGGAACTTATTTCGTAATGCGTATACCGTTTCCAACCTATTGGCGTAATGACATCATCAGTGTCGACCACAAGCATAATTGCATTTGTGAAAAAGAGGGCGGTGAGTACTGAAGATTGTGTTTCAGATATCATTTAAACCTACACGAGGGTATCGCTGGGGCTCTACAGCCTGCTCGACTTCTCCGAAAATCGCTGGGCGATGCCTAAATTCCAGCGGCGACCGAGCAGGCTACTAATCGGTCGGTCGCCGCTCTGATTTGTGACCATAGCTTTAGAGCGTGTTGCGTAAAGCTGGATTTCCACTCACTCTCAAACGCTAGTGGTTCAGTTTTTGGAGACGGCAATAAGAATCGCAAGGAAACGCTTTCAAAGTTCAACCTTTTTCAACCTGTCTGGAGCGGTTAAGCGTTTGCAAGCGTTTTGATATCGATATCGGCAAGCAAAATACAGTGTTCCGCGCATGTACCATTTTCAAAGAACTCTTGCGTTTAGAGTATAAATTTAGCTTAAAGATAAAGTTGAGTTCTGGTCATGCAATTGCATTGTGAAAGAAACAGTATCATGTAGTATATCAGATTAGCGGTTTATGGCAAATCTAACGAAATCTTGCCGGAAATCATATTCACTGAAACGCATGAACTATTTTTGCACATTTATTGACCATAATATGCAGTCGGGTCAGACGACTACCTTGACTTCCTCATCTTTATCTTTTCAACTAAGCTCATGTTTTCTACAAATCGTCCGGCAGATAAAGTGCCTTTGTCAACCTAAACATTCAGAACGAGCCTGGGTGAATTCTGTATGAGAATATGAATTTAACATAACAGAAATCACAAACAGTAAACATAACTTTTAACAATGCTGTCACGAATGTCAGCATAATCTCTTTCTCCCCTTTCAATTGTTTCTTTTGGTAGCCTGTAATCCAGGTCTTGTCGAATTCCATGGGTCTTGCTATCACTTCCCTGGAATTGCTAATTACAACGCATCCAAAGCCTTTTGTGAGAGCCTGGGAATGCATTTGGTCTACATAGGTTCTCAAGAAGAACAGGCTTTTTTGGAGATAAACCAAGCACCACTTATCGGTACGTGGATCGGGCTAAGTGCTGTGACCTGGCTCGATAACTCTAGTCTGACCTATGCCAATTTCGGGACAACAACCTCGACATTCGATGATGGAGGAACTTATTTCGTGATGAGCTCGTCGTCCTCGTTCCGGTGGCTCGACGATGACGGATCAAACCTTCACTATGCCATCTGTGAAAAGGAAGGAGGTGAGCACAAATATATGATTTTTTTTTCTTCTCCTGAGCAAAATAAAGAGAAACACATCAATAAAGTCTGTGTTACTTGTTTAAAAAATCATCTCTTCTGATTGGAAATTGTTTGAATCACAAGGGGAGGTTAATGAATTAAACATCAAAGACGCTTGATCACAGGTTCTAATAGGGAAAGTGAGAGCATCCGGGGATATACTTGATAGTGGGTAGTGGCGTTTACAGAGACCAGAGAATTGAATGCACTTGTACGACCGATCAATGAGCGCACCCTCCTCCAACTTCAGAAGGACCATAGAATAAAGATAAATTCCCTTTTTTTTCCCTTTTTTTTTAAACTTCACTCTCTCACATGAAATAGAAACAAATCCACGATTCTTAGCAGTTCTTATATAATAAACAGCATGGCATACAAATGGTGTAGCTTGATGAAGACCCTAAGATAATTCTTTGATAATATCATCAACATGAGATTCAGCCATCAGTTTCCCCCTTTCTTCCAGATTGTGATGGGGTCCCAATTACCAACTACAATTACAGTGGGTCCTGCTATTACGTCTATCCTACCCCTGCCGGTTTCCTATGGATGGAATCATTTTGCGAGACTTATGGAATGCATCTGGTCTCGATCGGATCCGAGGGAGAGCAAGGTTTCTTGGTGTCTATTCTTCCTGACAATAACACAGATTACTGGATAGGATTAGACAGTATCACCTGGCAAGACGGCTCACAGATGACCTTTAACAGTTTCAAAGGATATTCGAGTGATTTCAGTGTAGGGGGAACTTGCTTTATAATGAAAACATGGCCTCAAATACACTGGTTTGATCGTACAGCCGACACCTCAAACGAAATAGAGTATTACATTTGTGAAAAAGAAGGCGGTGAGTAATGAAATTTCGTTTACAAAGAGTATCTATCTATCTATATATATATACAGTTAACAGCTAAACAGTTCATATCCCTTGTAAATTTTTATTTTTGTGACTTTAGTAACTCAAGAATAAAAGGTAGACTGGTTGAATTAGGGCCGTGCTGTTGAATACTATATAAGCTTTAATATTTCACATTCTCAACAACAACAAAAATCGGGACAAATCAATTTTTCACATACTTAGCGAATGCCAAAACTTGGTCAGGGTATGAGTTATTAAGTTTTTAACTGTATAATATAAATCCGATATTACATCCACGTGTTGGCATGATATGATGACGCAAACAAAATGATGAAGAAAAGAAGGTTGATGATCTAAATCCAACAGTTTTTATTAGGTCACAAATTGTTGACGTTACCTAATGTCTTCATCAAGACTATGACAGACCTATAGTTATGGCGTTTCCACGGCAATGCGCAAATAGTTAATTAGTAAGTAGGCCCATATACCTCTGAAACGCTTTACAGGTCAAAGAATTGAATGTGATGAAAAGTTTGAACACGTCACATAGCATCACAATTAATGATGAGGTTGAGACATGCGATTGCATTGTGAAAAAAACGGTGTGGAATCGATCAGAAAAAGTTTATCATGTAGCATATAAGTATTGGTAGGTACTGCAAGGTTCTGGAATCATCAAATAATAAGAAATTTGGTCTAGTCTTGGTAAAAGTAACAAACACTGTACACATAAAAAAAAAATGTATATAGGACTACACAAACATGTGGCATTAAAACGAGGCCCACATTTTGAAGCTGTTACATGTCATATTTAGAATATGAAGGCATTTGAAGACCCATGCTTTTTAGGGAATATTTTTTCTCTGATGTTCTTCCACACTTGCATAATAACAATGACAATGCTCACAAAATATCTTCACCTCTCCCTAGAACTCAACTTTCTCTTTAAGTTGATGAAATGCGCTCTTTTGGATTTGATGAGAAGCACCTGCAACGTATAGCTTTGGTGTATTTTCGTACACCGGCACACATGTGTGTGTTGGGTTTTTACAGACGTGTATCATGATTATTTACTCTGGGGACCGCCCTTCAAACGTCACCATCCGAAAGACGTGACTCAGTTTCGAACCTGCGTCCTCGGCTGAATCGAGGCCCCGTCTTATAAAGAGTTGCGATAAATCCGAATCAATCGCAAGTTTACAGTCTCCTTTTTCTTATGTATGTCGTTGCGATTGGGAACAATCGCAAACTGTTAATGAGACAGAGCTCTGGTGTAAGATGTTCGGAGGCAAATTGGCTCAGTCGGTAAAGCGTCTGCCTGTTGTATCAAAAATAGTGTGTTCGAATCCAATCAAGGCGGATGTCTGAAGCCTCCCCTTTTCATAAACGCAGGCAATAATGATGACAGTAAAAAACACTGTCTCACGGGAAGAAACTTAAATGGAGTCCCCGCGTATAGGAGAGTGACCACCTTTGCACATTAAGAACCCGCTGCACTTTTCGTAGAAACTTATAGGGGAAACCCCGGTATAGTAGACCATCTGCACACCCCTAATCAATTATACAGGGCGAAGAGACCCGAGCATTACAGTTATTCGGTACGCCTTTCGCATCCCAGGCACAGGTGACGCCATAATGTAGTCTATCTCTCTCTCCCTCGTGTTTTTTTTGTTTTGTTTTATATTCTAGTACCATGTGATCCGACTCAAATCGAATATGGCGGGTCCTGCTATAACTTCTCTCAAATACAAACCACTTACCACGCATCCAAGCTAATCTGTGAAAACCTAGGCATGCATCTGGTCTACATCGGATCACAGGAAGAAGGAGACTTCTTGGTCCAAGAAGTCCAGGAGTTAAACGGCCCATTGTACGGAGAGGTATGGATTGGGTTAAGTGCTGTAACCTGGCTCGATAATTCTACCCTGACCTATGCTAATTTCGGTAAAACCACCTCGACATTCGATGACGGAGGAATTTGCTTCGTGATGAATTATTCCGCTTCTTTCCAATGGCTCGACGATGACAGTTCTAACCAGCATTACTACATTTGTGAAAAAGAAGTAGGTGAGTTGGCTTAGGGACTTGAGCTGTAAGTAAAATTCTATTTTCAAAAGGTGGTGTTGCTTTCATGACGTTGACATTTTCAATAGCCTTGTGCATCACCCTTTGAAATGTTCGAACATGACAATGACGTATAATGTAATCCGAAAATGAAATCTATGGGTTGTACAATAGGGTACTGAAATTGCTTTTGGGTTAATTTGTTCAAAAATATTTGCGATCGTGTTACAGCAAAATTTTATTTTACTGCAGTGTGCTTTTAAAAATATAATTCATTTTGACTTTGTCATATTTGTTAAGCAGATGAACACCGCTATTGAAATGGTTCATTCCAGCAATTTAATGTGAAGTGAGAAAACGTTAAGGCTTACAATGCTTTATAAAGACACAAGTTGTGTATGCAAATAAGTGTTGTAGTTTTATATTTTACCAAAAAGATTCTTTGT